GGGGAGGTATCAATTAAGCTGACTGTATAGCTCAGTGGCTTAAGTATCTGGCTGCTGAGTCAGTATGCCTCCTGAGAGAAGAGCCATCCTGTGTAGCCATGGGCAAAGCTGCATAGTCTCAGACTCATGCCTTGAAGATTGCCCAGGATAATGAAACATTCTATGTGAATGGTAACAGCAATGTAAGTGTCATAAGAAACCTTGTGTCAACACAGATCAACCCAGGGCAACCTCCCTGTCTAGATAAATCTCTATCGCGCGCGTGCGCGCGTGTGCGTGTGTGCACGCGCGTGTGCACGCGCGTGTGCGTGTGTGCACGCGCGTGTGTGTGTGTGTGTGTGTGTGTGTCTTAATTTTGACAGATGAGTTTACTACCTAGCCTGCCCACACCTTTCCAATTGTCTTCATTGTATGATGCAATCTGAACTTTTTCAGGTCATCTTTATATAGAATGTATTTTGTATTTCCTTACTTTAATTGCTCATGTAAACACCTTCCAATTGCCAAGCATGATATGTCACTTCATGGCAGAGTTAAGATGCGTTATTTATTCTTATAGGAGCGATGCTGATGTGTTAGACTATTTTGTGTTTCCTTAATGGATCTATAACACCTGGTTGCCTTTGGAGGGACTAATCGTTTGATGTAATACTTCTGGAAATATCTGTTTGAAAGAGCAGCAGGGGACATGATGCTTATGTTGTGAACCACCCAGATAGAGTGGCCTTCGGCTAGATTGACATATATAAATCAAATAAATAAATAAATGCCTGTGCTCTTTCCTGCACACTACGGAATACTGCATTTGAGTTGTATTTTACCTGCCAATTCTAATTGCACAGCCTCCAGATATGTTGTTTGCCAACTTGCATCATTTTTAGCCTGTACAGCTGGCTGAGAATGATGGGAGTTGGATTCAACAGCTCTGATAATTTTGAAATCTGATGTAATGCCTCACAGTGCAACGGGTGCACAAAACATCCTTAGCTTTCATCATGTTGTTTAAGTTTTTGTTTATGGGACTGTTCTGGGGCTTTGCCAAAATACTTTGCTTCTGCTGTTTCAACTTGTTACTGATAGTTGTTCTTAATTATGTTAAAGCTTACTGTAAACAGCTTTAAGAGCCATAATGGTTGAAAAGCAGTATGCAAATTTAGTAAATAAATCCCTTCATAATTGTCCCAGGCCATTTGCATCATCTCTTAATGATGCGACTGTGTTCTACATTTTTTGAGAATGTTAATGAATGAGAGACCTGGAGGCCAAAATGAAGATCATTCAACCAGATGTGACATTAAGCTGTCTTTTCCCACCTCACCCATCTTTTCTGGCATGGATGCTCTACCTTCAAATGTCCTGCTGTCTCCAGTGTTGGTTCCCTTGAGAAAGTTCTTGCACAATTACCTGACACCTATAATACCTTGTTTTCCCTACATTAATCCTTATACTTTATTAATGATTTTTCCTGTTCTGCAGAACTATGGAGCTTTGATAGTTCACATACAGATTGGGGGGGAAAAGAAAAGTAAGCAAAATAGGGGAGTAAAAAATATATTTCATGTCAAAGTGTGCAGTTGTTCATTGAAATAAATTCAAAGGAGAAACACAACAGATAGGAAAACAGTGAACTAAAAGAACCTCTTGAACAAGTGGTGAATTTGAGAAAGTTATCGAACTGAAGTGCAGAGAGATGTTGGGTAGTTCTGGTGGTTGAGTTGCAAAATATGTTGGAGTTAAAGATTGATTGATTGACTGATAGGTACATGAATTCAATGGATTCAATATACACAGTTTTAATCAATGAACCACTCCCTAAAAATCCAACCCTTCCTAGAATGGCTGCATTCCAAAGCACTCCTAGCCCCTTCTAGGACTTTTCCTTGACCTACAAAAAAGCATAGAGGTTAGTCATGCTTGATCAAACCTCTGTAAGCAAATTCTGTTAAGTTTTCACAACCAAGCTGTCTTCTCTAGTTTTTTTTCTGGATGTCTCCAGGGTTTTTAACATCCAAGTCCTAACTGGCTTTCTTACCAACTGAGCCCCACTTGGATCCATTCCTAATCCCGTCCTATCTGGCTGCTTTGCTAACCAAGCCTCTGCCTGGCACTTAAACTCTTATGCCCTGCAATCTAAATCTCCTTACCTGATTGGTTGTTGTTTTGTTGATTAGCTAAGATGCCATTAGAAGGCTGTTCAAGACCTGATCAATGGTGAGGGATGATGGGAACTGTCATTCAATAACAGCTGGAAATACCCAAGTGAACTCTTTATATGCAGCAGGCATGCAAATTAACCTACAATGTACATGCTATTTCTTCCTGTACACAGTGTCTTTGAGCCCAACCTGAATTTGACATATTGCCATATGTCACTTTCACCTCCCCCCACCTGCAATTTAAGCTAAAGCCGTCTGTGCAAGCTGTAAGTTTCTTGTGAGAGGAACTGTAAAGCAGTGGTTCTTAACCTTTGCTACTCGGATGTTTTTGAACTGCAACTCCCAGAAACCCCAGCCAGCACAGTTGGTGGTGAAGGCTTCTGAGAGTTGCAGTCCAAAACTCCTGAGTAACCCAAGGTTAAGAACCAGTGCTGTAAAGGAGGGAGTGCTTAATCATTTACTGTCTTGCTGGTCATATGTTCAGAATCTGCCTGCACACATGCATGCACACATATACGTGCATGCATGCACATGCACATGCACACACACCCCTATGAAACTGGTGTTGATAATGGACTGGATGAAGGCGAACAAAGTGAAGCCGAATTCAGATAAGATGGAAATTCCACTCATCTGACTGGTTAGAGCAGTCGTTCTCAAACTTGCGTCCCCAGCTGTTTTTGGACATCAACTCCCAGAAATCCTGGCCAACAGAGCGAGTGGTGAAGGCTTCTGGGAACTGCAGTCCAAGAACATCTGGGGACCCCAGTTTGAGAACCATTGGGCTAGAGGGACATTTACTTGGGCACAATGGGGCTACACTCCCCCTGAAGTATCAACTTTGCAGCCTGGGAATACTCTTGGAACCAGCACTCTCTATGGAGGTGCAAATATCTGCTGTGGCCAACAGTGCCTTTTATCAACTTTGGTTGATTGCTCAACTGTAATGCCCTTTACATACGGCTCCCCTTGAAATCAATACAGAACCTTCAGCAGGTCCAATACGCTATGGCCACACTGGTGACAAATATCAGCAGATATGAACACATATCCACAGTCTTGGCATACCTTCAGTGGCTCCCTGTTAGTTTCCATAATCACTTTAAAGTGCTAGTTATAACCTATAAAGCCGTTAATGATTTAATAATAATGGTGCTGTCAACTAAATTCTGACTTATGGTGACCCTTTTCAGGATTTTCCAGGTAGTGAATACACAGAAGTGGTTTACTATTCCTTTCCTCTGGGGGTATCCTGGGACTGTACAGCTTACCCAAGGACACACAGGCTAACTCTATTCACAGGAGACTTACTCCCAGCTAAATCAGAACCACATACTGGACTGTACTTTGACAAAAAGCAGTAGAGGGTTCACCAAGTATCCTTTTGTATCCTTTCACCCTGATATTCTCGGTAGAGCTCATGAAAGACAATGGCCTCTATATCCTCCAAAATCAAACCCAAAACTAATACTCCTCCAGCTGGTTTAGTAAGTGTGCTGTCTCTGGTTTGGGGACTTGAAAGATTCTACATTCTCAACATCCGGCCTTGATGATTTTTGGACTTTTGCCCACCACCACTATTAACCTGTACAATGACCAGCCTGCAGAATTCCAGAGGACTCAAAAGCTGGTTTGTTTTTGATATTCAAGTGGTCTAAGTAAATGTGCTGCCCATTTTTGCTTTTGCACATTGTGGCTTTGAACCTTTTTCTTTTAATTGTTTGTGTAACATTTGCTAGAAGTCTCCAGTGTGATCATTTCTTGCATACAGTTACATATTTAAAATGAATATAAATAAGTTAAAGGAAAAAAATGGCAAAACTTTTCCCTCAGTACTACTTTTGTCATTTTCCCTTTGAGGAACTGTCCAGCTGTATATACTTCTTCCCTTCTTACTTTGGCACCACAAGCAATGTGGGGTATGAATTATACTTCCCCAGCCCATTGGCCGTGCTGCTCCATCATGTTTGGAGGATACTAGTTTGAACAAGAATATATAACATGCTTCCCACTCATGAGAATAGTTAGTCAGTACAGATTAGATTTTAAAATCCAGCATCCTGAAAACTTTCCACTCATGAGAATAGTTGTTAGTCAGTACAGATTAGATTTTAAAATCCAGCATCCTGAAAATATTAGGGTTCATTCCTGCCACCAGCCCCACTGAAGGCAGAGCTGAATACTGTACTAGGGTTCATTCCTGCCACCAGCCCCACTGAAGGCAGAGCTTACAAGAGACTGTTTTCTTCAAACTGTAAAGACAACCCTTATTGACATCATAAAAGCTAGAAGAGAGAGACATGATCAACACTTCCTGAAAAGTCTTTTTCTTCTCTCTGATTAATAAAAACTGAATTATGCCAACCCAGAAAATACATCCACAATGTTTCATGTGGGATATTTCAAGCAGGTTTGTCACAGTGCAGAATTTTAATTTAACTTCCCGAAGCATCAAATAGAACAGGCTTGCCTATAAAAAGCAGATTTTACTTGCATGATCCTCATAGGGAGTGGGTTTTTTTTTTAAAAAAAAAAATTCAAATCACTTCTCCTTGTGTCTCTTTCCTTCAAGACATTCTGGAGCAAAACATCTATGGGGAAAGTTTATAACCTTTATTTCATAACCATTTGTCCTTGTTTTCTTTTCAGATGAAATTCAGGAACCTGTGGAGTTTTGAAGCATGTGAGCTATAAGACATAAGACTTTCTGCCCCAAATGGACTGATCTTTTTGTTTATTTGTGTGTGCTGAACTCAAATTACTTGCAGTAGAGCGCAGATAGAAGGTCTTCTCCCTTCTGACTCTGGCATCACCTATTCTCATAGGAACACAGTAAGAACAGATATATAGACTTCTCCCTTTTGACTCTAGCGTCACCTATTCTCATAGGAACACAGTAAGAAATACAGACTCTGTCCTTAAGAGAAATGGCCAACCCAGCTGGTTTCCTCTGGACCTAATTGCCAGCTAAACCAACAGCTCCATCCACATTATCCAGTCTTCTTTCTGTATGAGCCTATCCAGTGTCCACCATGCCTGAATTAGAGCCACTCGGTGTACCTAGAGCCCCTATCAATGCTAGTCAGATTCAGAGAAATATCCTGGAGGAACATGTGGAGCTGTGGTGGTTCCAGGAGCCCAGGAAGTCCTCTATTTGTTATGGAGTAGCTGTGGTTCTCATCCTGGCCTGTGGGGTCGGTGGTATTGCCCTGCTTTACAGTACCAGCAGCCGCTCTGGGGAATGGAGGCTGGCAGTGGGCACCACACTCTGTCTGCTGGCACTCTTGGTCCTCCTGAAGCAGCTGCTGAGCTCTGCCATCCAGGACATGAACTGTATCCGCAGCCGAGAACAGGTTGAGCTACTGAAAAGCGGCGGTGCCTCAGACTGCGCTGTGCTGCTGCTGACAGCCCTTGTGCTGCTGGTGTGTGGCACAGTCCTCACAGTGCTTTCAACCAGCAACATGGCCACCAACACAACAACTCCACGCCCCCTTGCCAGCATGTTTGTCAGCGGCGTTGTGCTCACCACCTCTGGAGCTGTCCTCATGCTCAGCCTGCTCTTGTATTTCACATGGACGTCCTGCAGTCCAGCTGCACCTCAAGCCCGGAACACTGGCAACAACAGTACCATCTTCACAATATCAGGACGCACCCCAGCCAGCCAAAGGCTTCCTCCTACCTCCAGCATGGCGAATCTCATTTGAGCCTCCAGAAAGTGACCTGTGGTTGCCGCGGGACTAGAATCTGACACTGAACTGGCATTTGCACTTTAAATGGACCAACTTGATCCAGGAGTTGCTTCTGAGCCGAACTTGGCAGTGCGATCAGTTTCCTATTGCATAACTGGGGTGGAGCCAAGAGAACAGCCTAGGTTTGCTGCTCAAACTGTACATTACAGATTATCTGTCATTAGAAAAGAGAATGCCTTACATGCTGACAGCTGTCACAGGAGCTCTTCATCATGAAGCAATTTGCAAATTACCTTGCATAGTTTTGTGAATGGTTATTGGGATGTATGCATAAGCTTTTTCTGCATGTCTGATCACTCTTGTCATGAAAGTTTGCCTGTATCACATCTCTGGAACACTAACAGATCTCAGTTTCTAATGATTGTCTATCTGTAACATATAGTTTGGCCTTACAGCTCATAAAGATATTTTATTACCCTGTACTGGGAGGTAAACGTGTGATTAAAGGGGGGGGCAGAATCGATCACTATGAAAGAAATGTTATCCTGTACATCAGTGGTCCCCAACCTTGGTCCTCCAGATATTCTTGGACTACAACAGCCTTCACCACCACCCCTGCTGGCCAGGTTTCTGGAAGTTGAAGTCCCAAAAACATCTGGAGGCCCAAAGTTGGGGACCACTGCTGTACATGATGCAATGTAATACGAATAAAATGAACTTGAGTAACATACATAAACATCCATCCTTTTAATTAATACACCCAGTTTTATCTTGCTCACTAGAATGTTGAAGTGGGAGGCAGAGAACATGCCAGACCTGCCCCTTCACTGCTTGACAGAATAGATAAATGGGAGCAATACATCTTGATCTGAATACCCTTGGCTATGTAGTGTAAAAAGAACAACCCTAACAATGGCAGGTATAATGCATGTATAACTGGTATCAGCCATGCAACCTTATCCTGATTTTTCCTGATATTTATGAGTAACAGGGTTGGTACAGAGAGTTGTGCTTCACAGGACATGAAGAATATCTATTTTGCTTAATTGTATGGTTTTATCTTGCTTACTAGAATGTTGAAGTGGGAGACAGAGAACATGCCAGATCTGCCCCTTCACTGCTTGAAGGAATAGGTAAATGGGAGCAATACATCTTGATCTGAATACCCTTGGCTATGTACTGTAGAAAGAACAACCCTAACAATGACAGGTATAACACATGTATAACTGGTATCAACTATGCAGCCTTATCCTGATTTTCCTGGTATTTATGAGTGACAGGGATGGTACAGAGCTCTGCTTCACAAGATATGAAGAATATCTATTTTGCTTAATTGTATTACTCATGAAATCTCTATGCAGAAGAAACCTCAGTGGCTAGCAAAGCACATTAGAGACTATATTATCATAAACACATTATGCTTCACAAATAAGGCTAGCATTACTTTGACTAACCAAAAAGAGATTGTATTTTTCATAGCTGTCATAATAGGAAGAGGAGGAGCTGCTGAAAGGATTACAAAAGGAAGGGAGAAAAAGACTACCCAAGATGAGGCAACAGCACAGGGTCAAAAGTGAGGCTGATCTTTGTATCAAACCCCCAAGTGTTTACATACATGCCTGAGTCTATAGAATAAATCTAGATTTCTGTACCAAGAAACTCCTGCTTATGGACTTGGATTGAATAATGTTAATAAGGCACAAATAACTTTTCCATTCCAAATACAGTCCTTGCAAATCCAAATGGGAAAGAATGCATGTGGAACATTATGTTCAATAAGAGGATTGTTGTCAGAAATATTAATCCTGAATGAGTCCTAAGTACCTTGTTTCTGCTCATATGAAGCCGATAGCATCAGGTTACATTTGCTCCATTCACTAGTGACTGTGGCCAACCCCTAAATGCTGGATGTAGGGTAGAGATGATGTTGTTTGGGCCAGAACTTCCAAGTTCTAACTCCCCCTTTGATACCTTTGTGGGCATGAAAATCTGATGCAATGTAAAAGATAAGGACCTCAACAGCTTACGTATTGCTTCATCACTAGTGGAGTGGAAGAACATCCCATTATTTCCAAAACTGATTCAAGGTCAAAACCTATGAGTTTTTATGCCCTTCAACTCCAGCTTGTCAGGGCAGATTTTAGTTGAACACCTCTGCAGAGCATACATACAATAGCAGGTTTGTTTTCACCCCAATTGTTTTCACCCCAATAGCAGCAATTTCCCTGTTTCCTCTTCACCAGAACTGTTCACATGTCCCAATGAATTAGAAGTCCATATAAGGAACAGACCTGTATACGAAGGCTGCAGCCATATAAATCAAAAGAAGACAAAAATCATGACTATAGAACTACACAGCTTTAATGTTGACAATGAAGACACTGAAATGGTGAAATATTTTGTGTACTTTGGTTCAATCATCAATCCATTTGGGGGTTGCAGTCAAGAAATCAGAAGACCAAGATTCAGATAGGCAGCAATGAAGGAATTAGAAAAGATCCTCAAGTGTAACAATGTGTCGCTGGAGACCAAGACCGAGATCATCCACACTCTTATATTCCCAGTCACCATGTCTGCGCGTGAGACCTGGACAGCTAAGAAAGCTGACAGGAAAAAAAATATTTGAAATGTTCTACTGCAAGACTGCTTTGTGAATGCCCTGGACTCCCAGAAAGATGAGCAAGTGGGTCCGAGATCAAATCAAGCCTGAACTATCTCTGAAGGCAAAAATAATGAAATGGAGGCTGTCCTACTTTGGGCACATAATGAAAATGCGAATTTCTCTGAAAAAGACAATAATGCTGGGACAGGTTGAAGGCAGCAGGAACAAAAGAAGACCAAATATGAGATGGATTGATTCTTTAAAGAAAGTCACAGTTTACAAGAGCTGGGCAAGGCTGTTGAGCACAGAACATTTTGAAGTTATGAATTTCTCTGAAAAAGACAATAATGTTGGGAAAGGTTGAAGGCAGCAGGAACAAAAGAAGACCAAATATGAGATGGATTGATTCCTTAAAGAAAGTCACAGTTTACAAGAGCTGGGCAAGGCTGTTGAGCACAGAACATTTTGAAGTTCTCTCATTGATACGGTCACTATAAGTTGTAGGCGACTTGGTGGCATATAACAACACAGAAGGTATACGAAGTTTCCTTACCAACTTACTGCCAAGAGACAATGTGAAAGATCCATGGTTCCTCCTGCCATAAACCATTCTCAAGCACACACAGTATCCAAAAATGTTCTTTCTGTTTAGCCTTTTTGATGTACACTTTCAAGACTTGCCTCGGCTAAGCACAAATGTGCATACATATGCTTTGCGTATAGAACACTGCAGGTTCAATTTTAAGCATTTCCAGATCACAGACACTAAGACCTTTGTGCAAGACTTTGGAGAGTCACTGCTTGTTGTAACAGGCAACATAAGACATATGCTACAGAAAGGACTGAAGATAAGCTGCTCTAGTATGGGTGAAAGTCTGGAGGAGAGACCCCCTGTGATCCCTTTCTGTGCTAATTTGTTCTCCACTTGGATAAAAAGCAGAATATACATGTAATAAGAAATGCACACAGAGAGAAAGAAGTGAAATGAGGTTTTATTACAATCTTTGCAGGTACCATACCAATTGCACCCTGTGCTCCTGGCTTGTCCTTACATATTTCAAAAAGAAAGCACAATATAAATTTAACATGATGCTGACATATCTTCTACTTAAGCCAAAATACAGAGCCAAAATGAAAAGAGCTAAAATCCAGATTGTGATAAATAAAGGGTGTGCCGATATAGTGTTTTTACAGGAAACACATCAAAAAAGGAGGGAGAAAATGAAATTAACGGTAAATAGATCGATATACACGAAAAATCATTTGGCAACTCAAAATCCAGGGGAGTGGCTATAGTAATATCAAAAGAATTGTGAACAAAATTGAAACAAAAGTAGTGAAAAAAGACCAAGAAGGTAGATATATAATGATACAAAGAAGACTTAAAGGAGAAGAATGTACGCTAGTTAATGTATATGCACCAAATGAGAATCAAGGAAAAACATTTTACTACAGTGTTGAAGGAATGGATAAAATTCAATCAGGTTATGTTGTAATGGCTGGAGATTATAATATGGTTATGGATAAAATTAAAGATAAGACACAACTACAAAACAATTAATTGAAATGAAGGCAAACAATATTGAACAAATCAATTAGTAACACTGATCTGAAGGACACTGGGAGACTATTAAAGGGAGATGAAAGAAAATTTTCATATTACTCAGCGGTGCATAAAACATTCTCCAAGTTATATATTTGTTTCAAATGATTTACTTTCATAGGTAAGCAATATAGAAATAGAGCCCATAAAATTTCTGACCATGCAAAAATTGATACGGAATTTAATACAGAGGCTGATTATAGAGAAGCAAAAAGATGGAGAATGGATACCAAGATTTAAGGAGGTAGTTGAGAACATGAAAAAGAATATAGAAGAAATATGGAATATTAATGAGGAAGGAGGAGGTCAATCTGGAATAATATGGGATGCTGTGAAGTGTGTGGTACAAGGCTTGAGTATAAACAAATCATATAAATTAAGGAAACAACAAGGAGAAAGGAGTAGAGTGTTAGAAGAAAATATAAAGAAATTAAAAATGGCGTTTACTTTATCTAGAGATACTAGAATAATGAGCGTATTACAAACTAAAAAGAGGGAACTAGAAGGAATTCATTTAGAAAGAGTTCAAAGAAATTTCATATACCTGAAAAGAGAGTATTTTTAATTAATTAATAAGAATTCTAAACTACTAGCAAGACTTACACAGGTAAAAAAAAGCTAAAAACACAATAGATACTATTGAAAAGGGTATCAGATATAATAAAATGAGGGGGAGATTGAAGCTTTTCAATAATTCTTTAAGAAATTATATACAGGACTACGAATAAGGATTCAAAACACAAAATTAATGCGTATATACAAAACAACATAGTTAAGAAAATACAAAAGGAAGATATTTTAAAATTGAACAAGAAATAACAGAGGAGGAAATAAAAGAGATGATAGATAAACTAAAAAAAAGCTAAGATGCCAGGATAACATGGAATAGGTCCTGAATTTTATAAGATGTATAAAAATCTGCTTCTACCAAAAAATGAAGAACTTATAAAATATTAATGGGGAAGAAATCCCAAAGTCTTGGAAACATCCAATGATAGTATTCATCTTGAAACCAAATAAAGATTCAATGAATATGGATTCCTATAGGTCAATTTCATTGATCAACCAGGATGCAAAAAATTTTATCACAATTTTAGCAAAAAGTTTGAATTGATTTGTTGATAAATATATAGATAAGGACCAAAATGGTTTTATAAAGGGTAGACAAAATGGAGATTTAGTGCAAAAAGTACTTGATAAAATAGATACTGTATAACTAAAAAGATAAATATAAAAGCAGGTATACCATCATTGGATATTTTAAGGCCTTCGATTCAGTGGGATGGACAGCTTTAAAGATATTAATAAAATAATTAGGGTTTGGAATATGTTTTAGAAACACTATATAGCAACTATACTCCAAAAACACAGCTACAATTATAGTAAATGATGGAATGACCGAAAAAAAATAATGCTAGGCCGAGGAACAAGACAAGGATGTCCGTTATCTCCAATACTGTTTATTTTGGTAATAGAACTATTAGCAAATGCAATTAGAGAGGATACCAAAATAAAAGGAATATGGAATACCAATAAAATTAAGGTCAATCTATTTGCAGATAACACGTTAACAACTGAGGATCCAATAGATTCTAAAAATAATATTAAAATGCATTTAAAATATTTGAGGAAGTTACAGGGTTAAAAGTAAATTAGAATAAATCAGAATGTATGTTAATAAATTATGGCAATGATGATAAGAGTACAATGAAGCAAAAATTTGAAGAGATTTAAAAAATAGTATTAAATATTTGGGAATAAAAATTACTTGGAAAATGCAAGAAATTATGAAAACAAATCTAGATAATGTGACGAAACAAATCAAAGAACAAATTTGAGATTATTATAGAGTGAAGATATCATGGTTTGGAAGAGTTGCAATATTAAAAATGAAGATCATCCCTAAATTAAACTTTCTATTTTTGAAGCTGCCCATAAAGATAAGAGGATAAGGCATTTTAAAAACTTGCAGAATTTGATTGACACTGCAATGAGAATAAAACAGCAAGAATAAATAAAAAATTATGGTATCTACCTCAAAAGAAAGAAGGATTGGGTATACCTGATATTACTATATAGCTAAACAATTGAGGCATGTCCCAGAAATTATAATAAATAGTAAAGGAATAATATGGATTGACCTGGAACATTCTAAGATCAGGGATAGTATAACAAATATGTTCTATAAGGAAAATATAAAAGAATTGATGAAAATTGTAGATAATCCATTCTTAAGTAACATGTTGGAATGTTGGAAGAAGTATAAAAAAAATATTAAGCCCAAAGACTTCCCCACTGATGAGCGTGGTGGATTTCCCTAATTTCCCAGAAAAATTGAGGAAAAATTTAAGTAAGGAGCAATTAGAATTAAGGCCTGGGTAAAGATCTTTGATATAGTGAGAATAAGAGAAGCTTTAAGAGAAGCTTTACTTGGCTAAATCTAAGACAGTTAGACAACTGGACTAAGGTTTGGATAAAAAAAGAAAGAGAAGGTAGAGCAATGACTGAATTCAAAGAAATTACTGAGAAAAGAGATGAAAGATCAATACCAAAGAAAAGGGATAATGAGAGTAATATATAAGCTGTTACTTGAGGATGAATATATAAAACAACAGCATTAGAACAGGTATGGCAAGGAGACTTTAACAAAGAAATTAAGGAAGTAATTTGGAATGCGATATGGGGGGAAAGAATAATTAAAAATATGTGAGTGAAAATAAAGGAAAATTGCTACAAAGTTATATGGAGATAGTATTTAACACCAGCAAAACTGCATATGATGAATAGAGGCATTACCTCTATGTTGGAGATGTAAGAAGGAAAAAGGAACATATTATCATATGTGGTGGACGTGTGAAGAAAAACAAAAGGATTGGAAAACAGTATTTAGTGAGATAAGGAAATTATGGGGATAAATATAGAAAAAATGTCCAAGGATAGCTTTGCTAAACATAGTTAGAAACTACCAAATAGAAAAAGGGGGTAAAGGAACTGATTATAATTACAGTATAGTGACAGCTGCAAGATTAATAATGGCAAAGAACTGGAAAAATAACAAGCAGCTGAGTTTAGAAGAATGGCAATATGAAATGTGGAATTTAGCCATCAATGACAAACTGACATGTGAACTGAAAGTTAGAAAAGGGCAGTTGAAAGAGAATGTTTTTAGTCAAATTTGGAACATATTTATAGAACATGTATTTTTAAAACATAAAGGATATACCCCACCAGAAGAATCAATACAGTTCTGGAAGGAGACAGGATGCATAAGTTACAACCAAAAATGAAATTCTAAAAACAATTATAAGTACATGTCTAAATATATTGTTATATAATATTGAGGGTGGACGGCAATATAGCACAAATGTGTTGTGGGGAATATATGTTATTTATGTTGTGATTTTATATAATAATATTTAAAAAATTAAAACAAAACAAAAAATACAGAGTCCTCAGAAATACCTACAGTTCCAGTGATAACAATTCTAGGTGTGGCCTGAAAAAATGTGAAGTTTACTTATCTACATTCCATTCAAAATAATTCTGTGTTGATAATGTTTCTAGTAAGACATGGTTTGACATAAACAGAAATACCATAAAACAGGCATTCATTTCATTTTATTATATCAAAAATACTGTATATTCTTACAAACAGTCAACTTTTTCTTAAGACTACAGCAACATACGTATAATGAAGTGGTTCTTAATCTTTGGTCTTCCAGATACTGCAGATGTCAGCTTCCGTAAGTGTGGCCAATGGTTATTCTTACAAACAGTCAACTTTCTCTTAAGACTACAGCAACATATAATGAAGTGGTTCTTAATCTTTGGTCTTCCAGATACTGTAGACGTCAGCTTCCGTAAGTGTGGCCAATGGTTAATACGGTAATTCTGGGATTTGATCTTCAAAACCTCTGGAGGGCGAAAGAACTGTTGGTATAGTGCAATAAAGCAACACATGTTCCAGATACTGTAGACGTCAGCTTCCGTAAGTGTGGCCAATGGTTAATAATTCTGGGATTTGATCTTCAAAACCTCTGGAGGGCGAAAGAACTGTTGGTATAGTGCAATAAAGCAACACATGAGGCGGGCCCCTTATTCATGAGCGCTCATGAGGCATCAGAGCATTCAACTAAGAGATACCTCGCTCCTTTTCACCTCTGCAACAGTTTCAGAAAGGTTGGGCATAAAATAGGGAGAAAGGAAAACAACATTGCTCCCTTGAAGAGTGCAACTGTTTTGAAGCACCCTTTTATTTATTGATTGATTGATTGATTGAGTGATTGATTGATTGAGTGATTGATTGATTGAGTGATTGATTGATTGAGTGATTGATTGATTGAGTGATTGATTGATTGAGTGATTGATTGATTGAGTGATTGATTGATTGAGTGATTGATTGATTGATTTGATTTGATTTGTACCCTGCCCATCTGGTCTATACGACCACTCTAAGCTAGCGCTTCGTAAACTTGGGGCTTCAAATGATGCAAGATTACATTATCCAGAATCCCTGACCACTGGCCATAATCGATTTGCAGAAGCTGAAACAAAACAATTTCTGAGGACTCAAGGCTAGGAAGCACTGCTTTGGGAAACCATTCTCTGGATCTGAATAAGGGGGGAAATGCTCTGATAATTTTAAGGACACATCCATTCCTGAAAGAGGTCTAGCATCCCAGCTTAAGTTTAAAACAAAGATGCAAGCAGATGGAGGAGCCCTCTTTATACAACTGGAAAATAATTGGTACAGCAGGAATTAGATACACAGAAAGTATATGATCCCTTAGTACTCAGATTTGTGTCCTCTTTCTTCAGAAAATTCAGATTCAATGACTTTTCCCAGAATGGGGAAAAACAAATCTCCATCATAACCTGGTCAAAAGCACTAAGAATGCAAGTAGGACTCATCCTGCCCTTTGTGTGGAAAAACAACATCAAAAGTCTGTTTCATTATGTGTGGCTGCAGAAATTAATCTTAAGAACAGTGCCCTTAAAAATAGTTATAAATACACTTTTGGGCAGAAGCACAGAAAGCTAGAACAAATCGAACATTGACCTCTACCATTCTGAAATGCAAAAAGAATGGACAACAAATGGTCATCCAGATATCTTAGTCCCAGTACTGAGCAGATGTATGTACAGCAGTAAGTGACATCTAACATCCTTTTAAAGTCATGGGCCTTAAACTGAATACTGAAAGAAAGAGAGAGAGAGAGAATGTAGAAACAATCCAGAGCTAATTGTCTGAGTCTCTTCTCTACAAGACCAGAATACTTGGTGACTAGTCTCAGTTTTTCAACACAGAAAATACAGGATAATACAGAATCAGCTACAAAGGTGCCATAGTTATTGAGCAGAGTAACTCAAGAAATTTTGCAGCTATATGAGCACTCAGGAACTATGTAAAAGCATAATTGCTTCTGGTGAGATAGAAAAATGTGTATCTTTTTAAAAAACACCACATGGAATGCAAGTTGCTATTTAAGGAAAAGTAAGTTCTGACCACACACCTTCACCTTCACCCTACAGTACTTCAATTTAAACAGGACCTCTAACACATCCCTAAACAAATCCAACCGGTAGCAGGACATAACTGTTCCTAGACCACAGCTGCTGCAGACCAAGAAGATGGAATGTAATAAATCTACAAAAGCTCTATTGAAGCATTATAAATGCTGATTCTATGAACAAGTTTAGAGTAGAGTACCTAGCCTTGCTCTGTTCTCTTCTTATAATCCATTCCACTTGCTCATGTATAAGCCCAGGGATCAGATCATATTTTTGCACTATTAAAGAGCAGGCCGGGTAGGTGGGGCTCGTCAGCCATGGAAGGCAGCCCATCTAGGAGAAGGAAAACTCCGATTTCAAACCTCCACTGCCTTGTGGCTATATCCACTCATGGAAAAGGCTTCAGGAGTTAACCTCGAGGCAAAATCCGGAACTGGAGTCCCGAAGGCAGCATGTGTCGTTCTGCCAACTCCTGCGACATTGCTGGAACCAGTTGTATTGGCTCTTGCCTTTCCATTGGACCATTTCAGCAATGTGGAGAGGGGGAATCTGCTGCTTGGGTAACAGCCTATCCTCCATATTACCTTACCCGGGCTTCATGCTCTGAAGAGGACACTCCTCGATTCAGAGCATGTTACCATAGTCTCTCGAGACTGAAGGATGCCTATACAAAAACACACTGAAAACCTGGGTGGAATCCAGCAACTCCAGTCACTACACATAATGCAAGCCCTACTGCAATTTAAAAATGGCACTCAATTTTTAAAACCACAGTAGGGCTTGCATAGCTGCCTGACAGCTGTTTATTTGGCTGCCAAGAAGCCTAACTGTTTAGACAGCTGGACCCGAGTGGGGATGGTATACAAATATATGGGCATACGTAGAGAGAAAGGGAGTGTGTGGTGCAGGAGTCACGCCCCCCTCCCCTCCCCAGATGTGACTCTCTGGCAGAAGTGCTTCCATTCCATCTTCTGGCGTGTCTTTCATGTCTTTCTGCTGCTGTGGCGGGAAATATTCACCCACTGCCACTTGGTGTCCTGAACCAGCAATACAAAAGCAAAGGCAGGTGCCGGGCTCTCAGCTGCCGCCCCATCCCCAGTGCTGTCAGCAGCCAAGGTCTCCACACATCCACCCAGTCTGCTTTAACATATTGGTTTCATACAAGCAGCAGGGCCCTTCCCCCTTGTTCGCCTCAGCGAGAAATATAGAATGAAACAGCAGCTAACAGCAGAGGTTCTGCTAGGTACAGAGCATCACTGAAAGGCCAGGTACTAACTGCAATGCGCATTCTATCTGACTGCAACAGCAGCAGCATACAATATCTTCTTCCCCAGCACCTGATCCTGATCAGCAGTCTTGGCTCTTGCATGAGGTAAAGGCCCTCCCAAAATACCACAAGGACACTCTTCCCACTAATCGGAGAGCTCAGAACTAGCACAAAGAAGCACTTGATCGGTACTCAGCCATCAGGGAATAGACATCAGTGTTTCCATCTTCCTTCACGACAAAGAGATTGTCAGCATCAACAGCAAGGACCCGAGGTCTTCGGCCCTCTCCTAGATAATTCAGTACCACCTCTCCAGTCTCATCTTCCTCTGGAAACTGTATCACCTTGAACTGATCCACCACCAAAATGTTCCCGTCTTCAATGACACAAACGCTGAATGGCCTTGTCAGCAGCGAAGTTGAGGGCTTCAGCACATTCAGAATAATCCCCGATTTCTCCATGATAACAATCTGTTTTTTGATGAAATCTGAGACAACAAATTCCTCCCAGGTACTTACTGCAATAAAGAGGAACTTGCCTCCATGATAGTCATTGGGTTGGACTCTGCCAACACACGACCCAGACGGGCTGTACAAAGAGATGGAGCAGAGCGTCCCTTCACTCACAGCCACGTAAGAGTCACTGTAGGAGGCCAAGGCATAGGAAGACTCCGAGCCTCTCATCGGCAGTTTACAGAGGAAGAGGCCATCGAGGGTGAGGAAAAAAAGGTGAGTCCCTGAGGTACAAGCCAGTCTCTCTGCACACACAGAGATGCCACAGAAGGCAAAGTCAGCAACAGGCAGAGGAACTGATCCCAGAAACTGACCGCTGGGGCTATATCGCTTTATCTTATCATTTGCCTGGTCCAAAAGGAGAACTTGGCCAGTGTAAGGCACAATGGCAATCCCAGTAATATATGGCTTTTCCTTGGAGTGGGGTGGATCCTCAAAGCTATAACAATATTTTGCTCTTATCCTAAAGCCATCGGTGGTGCAGGAGTTCTCAGTGGAGAATTCACACACACTTGTGCAGGAGTTTTCATCAGATTCAGAAAGAGAATCTGTCGCCTCCTCACTTTCCTCCCCAGGAGTAGCGACTGACTGGCTGTCTTGTTCCACGGGCTCTTCTTCTCTCTTGGACTCCTCTCCAGGAAACACAAAACTGAAAAGTGGGTCTTGAGAAAGTTGCTGGGGCTCATCCCAAGCAATAGCTAGTTCTGGGATCTGGCTGGAGACTTGCTGAAGCTGGTATGCCTGAAGCTCCTCAACCCTATTCTTGATCATCTCTTCCAGATGGAGGATCTCATAGTCTTTCCCAACACACAAGACACGCTGAGAAAATTCCTGGGTAGACACTGCTTTGTCCTTCTGAATCTGCAGCTCCTTCTGTGCCAGACAAAATGCTCCCAACTGTTCAGTCAGGAAGGCATCCAGCTCTGTCAAGGCAGACTCCTTCTGGGTGCGGATGTAAGCTGTGACATCTTCCACATACTTGCAGATTTTCTCCTTGCTACGTTCTCCTTCTGCTTTCAGCTTGTCCATGGCCGCTTCCACAGCCTTTTCTTGTTCAGAGATGGAGGTAATGGTTCCCTGGAGAGTCTTAATCAACTGCTCCACTGAAGGCCGTTCCCGCTGGACAGCACTGGCCATGGAGATGACTTTGTGCTGAAAATGGTCCAGCATGCGACAATCCCTGCAGATGGGCATGCTGCAGGTGTCACAGAAGAAGCGGAGTGCCTCCTGCGGGTGACCCTGGCAGCACAATTCTTGCAGAAATCTCACCTCTGTGTCATAATGCCCAGCAAGGAACTCTTCCACATTCACCACCTTATGATGCAGAGTGAGGCGGGAGCAGCAATGACCCTGGGAACAGGTCTGGCACAAGAAATCCTTGCAGTCCAGGCAATGAGAGGTGGCAGCTACGCTTTGCTGAACATTAGAACAGACAGTGCACTGTAGGTCCTTGTTGCATTTCATCTGGAACAGCTCCAACAGACCATTGATAAAAAAGTTGGTCTTCAGGCCAGCAGCTCCTTCTGGGACTTGTATCTGCAGGCGGCACTCAGGACACTGCACAATCTCATTCTCAACTAGGGGATCTAGACACCCAAGGCAGTAGCTGTGCAGGCACGGCAGGATTTTTGGCACCTGATACAGGTCATAGCAGATTTTGCAAGTCAAAAAATCTTCCCGAATCAATTCCTGCAGGGATGTGAAGCTCTGAGCTGCCATGATCCTGTCCGGTGAAGCTACAAATAGAGCAAGAGACAGGTCAGAAGGGCCAACTATGTTCCATGCCAAGTTATCTGATTTGAGAATGTTCAGGAATTATGTCATTAAATCTAGCTAGCTCTGCATCTACTACATCTCACACATATTACAACTTCTGGCTGACAGACATATTTTTGTACAGTGGGGTCTTGACTTGAGAACTTAATCCGTATTGGAAGGCGGTTCTCAAGTCAAAAAGTTTGCTGGTCAAATCTGCATTTCCCATAGGAATGCATTGAAAACCATTTGATCCGTATCTGCTCTTTTCCGTCCATAGAACCTAATGGGAAGCTGCTATTCTGTCTTCGACCACTAGAGGGGGATATTTTGTTTCTTTTTTTCTTAGGTCAAGAAAGGTTCAGGGAAGGCAGGGAAAATACAGTCCAGGCAGTACCAGGCAGTCTGAAGCCTCCCAATCCACTCTCTAAACGCTGGGAGGAGTGAGGAAGCAGACAGGCCCCCTTTTCACTGGCCAACAGTTAACTGAAAGTTCCCATTTTGCACTTTCCCTGCCTCCCACGTGGGTTTTTTTTCAGTTCTTAACTCAAATCTATGTAAGTCAAGTCAATATTTTCCTATGAGAGTGGTTCTTAAGTCAAAATGTTCTTAACTCGAGCCGTTCTTAAGTCAAGACCCCACTGTAATATAAATAAGGAACTATAAAACAAGGTCACAAAGGAGCTTCAGCTTACTTTGAAAAGCACTAATAACCCTCTACGTAGCCCCTGAGTTCTGTGTACAGTGGTACCTCGACTTACAAACGTCTCCACTTACGAACATTTCGAGTTACGAACGGCTCCGTTCCCAAAATGTTGCTTTGACTTGCAAACGAAAAAACTTTTCCTCCCCTTTTTTTGACCTAAATTCATCTTAGGTCAAAAGAAGAAAAAATGTAAAAAATTATCCACCTAGCGGTAGAGTACGGATTAACTGGCTTTGCATTAGTTCCTATGGGAACTAATGCCTCTACTTGCGAACAGCACCTCGACATAAGAACAAAAAACAGCCGGTACGGATTAAATGGTTTTCAATGCATTCCCGTGGGAAATTTTGCCTCAACTTATGAACTTTTTGATGTACAAACGTCGTTCCAATACGGATTAAGTTTGTAAATCGAGGTACCACTGTACAGTATATTATCTAAGGTTAGTCTGTACAGGATTTCACTATGAATTTTAAAACTGATGTCCAGTTCCAAAGTTTCAGAGAGTTACTTGTGTGACTGCAACCTAGTCTAGAACACAACAGCTAGTATGGCTATTTCTGGGTAGTGAGTGTTATTGAGACATTTATTGCTATCAATCCCACAGAAGTAACACTGCCTTTATTTACTGCTTGATAGAACTACAGTGTCTTTAGTAACTGTGTGACAAGGAAACACTGTATTCAACTGATGCAGTTTCCAGTAACATGGAGATTAGGCCACAGGATGCCTGCCAGATAGCTATTCATGTCGAAGTGGTCATCCGCAAACTCTTACCATTGGCTATGCTGGGTGGATTGACTGGAATTATAGGTCAAAACACCAGGAAACCAAAGGTCTCTATGAAAAAAAAAGGGGGGGAGTGGGACACCACTGCAATTTTGCTCTCCAAAGGAAAAGAGCTGAATGCTTTCTGGCTGTTATGTGCCTACAAAAAAGTAACATTCTCAAGGAGCTTGTAAGGGAGAGTGCCATTTGATTTCCAGCTCCAAAGTTCCTTTTTCCATCTCTCTTCTATCACAACCAACCAGATGCCACCTTATTATTGCTTGTATGAGCCACGTCTTCTACATACGTTAACGGAAGATAAATAAAGCACCCGTGCAAGTAAAAGGTGTCTAGACTTCTACTTATTTTCTGAGGGTCAGACTCCCCCCCCCCCAACCTCGCAATATATTCATCTGAAATACTTGCAACGGCTGCATTCAGCACATCCCGAAGGAGATCCCCCTCGGCGACGATCCACACACGGGATTTACTCTTCTCCCCAAAGGGGAATTTTCTTCCGGTTATGAAGAAATACCCGCACCAGGGAGCAGACGCTTCCGGCCAAAACAGAGGCGCAGGCAAACAGTTCTTTTTCTCTCCCGCGTCGGCATTTCATTAAAAAATTCTCCTGCGGCTATAGTTGAACTACAGCTCCCATAAGTCCTCCTCAGCACTGCCTTTGTTGGCTAGGCCTGATGGGAGTTGGAGTTCAGCGCAAGTCTCCTCCCCGCCCCCCATACCGAAGAAAGCAAAAGGGATCCCCCGTAAACTCCGAAACAAAACGTCACATCTAGCTGAGCTAAACGTTTTGGTTCAGGATCTTTCACAGCCCCACAGCCACGGCGAAACTGCAAAGCGCAAGAGTGCAGTTGAGAAACGTTACTTTTTCGGACTATAACTCCAAAAAGCTCAAGTAAACAGAGCCGGGCCGGGCTCCTTGAGGATTGGAGGTGTGTGTGTTTCCACTCCAAGAAAAATACATTTTCCAAGCTTTGCATGCGAGCCAACGGAAAGATTAGGCGATGTTTTCCCGCGTGGCGGGAAAGCGCACCTGCCTTAAATCACCCCCCCTTGCAGCCTCCCGTCCGACTAGGATTGGGGGGGGGGATGCTGACCCTTCCCACCACTCGCACACAAGCGCCGAACCCCTCCATTTTACATACTTGCGGAGCTTTTCTTCAAAGGAACCTCCGTATTATTTCCGCAATCCGACCATACATGACCATAAGCCCCGCCCTACGACTGGGTTGAAATGTATCGTCAGAAGGGTTAAGGCCCGCCCGTTGTTTCGGTGGGATTCCTGGCAAGTGGGCAGGTTTAGACTACAGTATACCTGCCCTAATTCCCTGGGGCAGGTATACAGTGCTTGGGGAATTCTGAAAGCTGCAGTTCCAAAAAAGCATAAACTTGTGCACCTCCAGGTTCCTCAAAGTAATGTACTGTATTCAGTCGAGCTCTGGCTTCCAAAGAATGGAGAGTTTGGGGTGGTAGTCGGGAGGATAATTTAGCCAGGCAAACCTACACAGTTAAATTTGTTCTGTATGATTATCCTTGGCAACCCTGGCTATTTCAGGATATGAATGTGCGGCCATTTCGAACTACTGTTTCTAGCATTCTGAGCATCTCCAAGTGAACTGACATAGGACATCTTCAATCACATGATTGCAGAATGTCTCACTCTGGAAATGATCAACATTCAGCCCAGAACTAGTGTCAGCCATGATGTAGCACAAGCAGTTATGAGCTATAATGTGATGTCTGACCAGTTTATACTGGTAAGATATTAGGTCTATCAGTATAATTATAATATAAGACCATGCCTCAAGTGCAGATGGTGAAGAAGAAGAAATTGGAGGTTTTTATGGAAGTGTCCAGCAAAAAGTTGCTCACTCACCAAAACAAGATGTGTTATTAACCATAGGTAACCGGAACATAAAAGTAAGAAATAAAGCAGAATCAAGGACTGTCAGAGGATTCCACCTGAGAGTTAGAATCAGGAGAGCAACTCATAGAATTCTGTGAGACCAACAATCTGTCTATTTCAAATAAATGCTCCAGGCACTGAAACCAACAATTGTAAATGTAGACATCACAAAATGGCCAATATAGAAATCAAATAAATTATGAAACAAGAAGCAGAAGATGGAGAAACCTGTCTATCCACTTGGACTCTCTAACCTCTACTTCCTCCTGCACCTATTGTTAGACTGATGTTTTATAATCCACCTATCAGTCCCACTTTCCTTTAATATTTCTCTAAGAGGCAGGCATGTAATCTTGATCTGTTAGTGTTACTCTGTAGAAATGTTCCTGCAGCTCAGTCCTGTGCACGGCAGTCTGATGGATGTTATCTATTAGTACATGTGTTTTAAATTACTGCCTTGCACACAGTTACTAAGAGTAATTTTTTTAAAAAGTAACTGGCATATTGTAATCTCCAGATTAGACCACTGTAATGCACTCTACGTGGGGCTACCTTTGAGCTTGACGCGGAAACTCCAAGTGATGCAGAATGCGACGGCCGGACTCTTTAGTGGAGTGAGAAAATTCCACCATATTTCTCCTATTCTGGCCATGCTGCATTGGCTGCCCATTCGGTTCCGCGTCGACTTCAAAGTCCTGATGCTTACGCATAAAGCCATAATCAGTTTAGGGCCTCGATACTTGGCGGAACACTTACTCCCATCTAGTTCTACCCGTGTTACTCGTGCGAGTCAGGAGGTGAGGCTGAGGAGCCTGACGCCGAGGGAGGCCCGGAAGGAAAAAACAAGAAAACAGGCCTTCTTGGCGGTGGCTCCTCGCCTCTGGAACAATCTGCCTCTGGAGATTCGCGCAGCCCCCTCGCTGGGTATCTTTAAAAACCAATTAAAAACGTGGATGTTTCGGCAGGCCTTCCCTCCAGCTAATTCCTGATGTTTCCCTTTTCTTTCTCCACCGTGACTTACTTCGTTTGCGCTCCATCTTGTTGAATTTGTCTGTTGTATAATAACCCTTTTTATATTTATTCGTGTATTTTATAGTGTAAGCCGCCTAGAGTGGTCGTAATACCGTGACTTACTTCGTTTGCTTTCCATCTTGTTGAATTTGTCTATTCTATAATAATCCTTTTAATATTTATTCATGTATTTAACTGTATAGTGTAAGCCGCCTAGAGTGGTCGTAATTGACCAGATAGGCAGGATACATACATACATACATACATACATACATACATACATACATACATACATACATACATACATACATACATACATACATACATACATACATACATACATTATAATTAAATAAATAAATCATTTAAAAAACTTTAAGAGCAAGGAGGTCTTTCAAAAATTTGTAGTTTTAGCTAAATGACTATGTTCAGTCTAGAAAAAACTTTAAGAGCAAGGACGTCTTTCAAAAATTTGTGGTTTTAGCTAAATGACTATGTTCAGTCTAGGAAAAATATAGCTGGGGGGATCTTAGAAAAACTGAGGACAGTAACCTCTGGCAGTGTCTTCAATTGCTGGCATATTCCAATCCCAAGGGTTTCTAGTAGCATAGGATCACCTATATAACCCAAGCTGTACCTTGTTGTCACCTTTGGATGAGGAAGAAATTGAGCACAACTTATGTATATAACCAGTACTTCAGCTCTTTAGTTTTCATGATAAAATAGACCAAGGAAAAATGCTCATACCTGTTTAAAAACAACGGAGTGCATTTATTTATGAAACATCCAAATTACTACACACGAATTGGTGTGGAGATCATATCTGTTCATTTATTCAAGTCTTTCATGTACTTCAGCCTAGAGGTAGCTTCATATCATTTAAGTCAGTGGTCCCCAACCTTGGGCCTCCAGATGTTCTTGGGCTACAACTCCCAGAAGCCTTCAACACCACCTCTTTTGACCAGGATTTCCGGGAGTTGAAGTCCAAGAACATCTGGAGGCCCAAGGTTGGGGACCACTGATTTTAAGTGAAACATGCTCTCCTCCTGCAGTTTAGCAATGCTATTTTGCACATTCCACACAATATAGACTGTTGCCTCTTAGCCCACACAATTCACCCGGGAGACATTGGGCTGCAACGGACATATCAGAGAGCAAATGCAGTGACCTTGTTTGTACAGTGGAATTGATTTAAATCAAATTGATTTAAATCACGATTGAATTTAATTGATTTTTTTCAGCTATTTAAATAAAAAATCAATTTTAAATTGTGATTTAAATCAATTTGATTTTTTAAAATAATTGATTTTTAGCCACTCTGCTTGTTTGTTTTCCATTTGGGAGAGATATGATGGATCTCATTTACAGATATAATGCTGGTCCATTATTTCCTTTGCACAATCTTCCCACAAATGCTGTGCTTTCCTAGTGGGGGCAGAAATTGCCAGGCTTTTTTTTGGGGGGGGGAGAGTGTATTTTAGGGCAGAAGAAGCAGAAATGTATGTTCTACAGGAATGACCTCCTACATGGATCCTTGTCATTTTCATTCAGACTGGCAAATGTTAAACTGGCAAAGTTAAATTTTGCTCTTGCCTTTCCAATATGTCCTTCAGGCTCACCTTATTACAGCATGACACACGTGGCCCTATACAGATTTACTAGGCAGTAAACCCTACTGAACATAGTGGGACTGCTTCTTCATAAACAAGTACCTGTATACCAGGACACTCTATGAAAAGGCAAGCCACCAGCCCTCCAACTTGAAAATGGAATGGAAACGGAAAAAAAGGAGACTCGCGTGTCTCCAAGAAATTTTAGAAAATGGCAATCTCAGTGCTTGCAAAAAGGCCTATTATTGCAACAGAAGCACAGAGGGAAATAGCTGTGCTAGCATGTGCATAGACAGACCCTCTGAAAGGACTCTTGATGCAATGGTATCTGGCTACATTGCAACAAACACATAGCAAGCTGTTTGCTCTTGGATCTGAGCACTTGATCAAACAATGCAAATGGCCAACTGTCAATCAAACAAAGCTCTAGTTATCAGTGAGAAGAATAAAGAAAAGCTCATAAGAAATGCTGCTACAGTTCTCTGCATAAAGGCACTGCAGATTTCTCACCACAGGGAAACAGCTAAATCAATTTTATGAAGCATAAACAGGAAAGGTTATGTAAAGGTATAAAAATTGCATATACAGAGGGAAAGAAATACTGCATTACACAGTCAATAGGCAAAACCTGCATGCACAGGGTGCAGCCAAGGGTGCACAAAACTTTCTGGCTCATTAACATTGTCTTTTTAATGCAAAGATTCTTCAGACAGAAGCTAGCCTCAAGTACTCTCCCTTTGCTAAAGAGTCGGTTTCCAAGACAGGGAAACATACCTCCCTCCACTCAACCTCAGCCTAAGGAGTGTGGTGTGGCTATCACGAGTGATGCTGGTGGTTGCAGCAGGTAGGAGTTACACATTGTGCTACCTGTGTCAAAGTCCTTGATATTTAGTCTCTCCTGTTTTGGAAGTATTCTGGCCAAAATGGCCAAGAGCTGCAAACAAAGTAGTTTGCCTCTCCTATGCCACAGATAGCACTCAAAGGTTTTGGCTATAAATGAGACCTGGAGCAGAATACACACTGCAATAAACCTATATACCTAACACAGCCTCTCCCTCCCACATGTTGGCATCATGGGGCACCCTTTTTTTGCAATCTCCACTCCAACAGCCCCCTAAGCCATTTCTGGACATCATTCCATGTCTAGAGTTAAGGTAAAATGAAGAACATTGACATGGGCTGGACAGGCCATCAAGAAACATGGGGCGAGACAGCTGACTAGCTGCCTCTTTCTCGTCATTCTTCTCAATCTCCATCCTGTGCTTTAAGGAAAGTCTAGACAGTGCCCTCAAGCATCTTGCATTTTACCTCATATGCTGTTTGTTCGTGCTTTCTTATTATTTTTTAAAATTCCTTTATTAGGAGACTGGGCTTCCTAATAAAATTATATGAGTTTGTCAGTAGTCTATGACTACAAGCTTATGGACACTTGTATGGGAGTATAACATAAGAGTAACCAGGGGCTACACAAATGAAAGGTACTGAGACATTACCTATCTATAGGTAGCTCCACCATCCTAGCCTGAACACATTCAATCTCAGCTAATTTTGGAAGATGAGCAGCTTCGGCCTAGTTAGTACTTGGGTGGAAGGCCACCAAGGAATGCCAAGAATCTCCAAGCAGAACTAGGAAAGAATCTTGCTTGAAACCCTGAAGAAATGCTACCAGTCAGAGCTGTCAAAGCTGATCTAGATGAACTCATTATCTGACTCAATATAATGCACAGCATTCCTATGTACTTCACTTTAGAGAACAGACAACTTTCGGCAAAGACAATGGCTGGTAAGGCGATTCTTGCTGTTAAGTGAGGTGGATTAAAGTAAAAAAAATGGGAAAGAGAAACTAATAAAATCACTGGCTCCTCTTAGAAAATGGAGTAGAAAATTGCTTATCACATACTGGGAGGTACGAAAAGCGGGAGCTTGATTCCTAACAGACCTAGAGTTTGAAATGTGGCTCTGGTTCCTCTTTTCCTGTTTCCATTTCTTCCTCCTCTTCCTCTTCTTGTAAATCTCGATTGGGCTCGATGTAGTTATCCTCAATGAAGCCATCATCATCTTCTGGAAGACAGGCAACTGCTCCACCCATCATCTGGTTCCTCGCATATGCCACCTCCACATCAACTTCCTCAGCATGGGTGCTTCCAAGGGAACGGGAATCAGGCAGCCGTTGATGTTGGTAGCTGGTGCGGTTCCTCTGCATTAATTTACATTTGGCAACCAATGCAACCACAATGGAAATACCAATAGCCAAAAGCACAAATCCAGCAAAATAGGGCCAGCTTCTCCCAGTCTTCACTGGTAGTGGTGTGGCAGTCAATGCTGCAACAGAAAGGAAGACTAGTGAATTCAAAGACTTCTTGTAGCAATACCCTCAATCAAGAAAGATCCTAAAATTCCAGTACTTTAAAACAACTATTGCAGAATAATGATACGGAACTTAATGTGACTGGATGAACATGCATAGGACAATGTAACATTGTCTCTGTCTTTTCATTTTAATAAGTATAAAGAAAATAAAGTAATCCCACCACAAAGCTGGTCTCCTTGGCCAGGAAAACAATAAAGGGAAAGGTCTTTCCTGACTCATTTGACAACTCTTTCTGGCAAATGCAATTCCCTCATTGTGGAGTAGACTGAACAAGGAAATTGACAGAAGTGCTCTAGTGATTCTGGCAAAAAAATTCATTGCAAGGCTCAAAAGTAAAAACTACCAATATCCCCTATATTAACACACATGGTTCCTCTGCTATCTTCTTTTACTTTTATATACAGTACACTTCCTCTTCCCCCTTTACCCTCCACTGAATTTTTGACTGATATCCCTGTCAGTCTTCACTAACTCCCCCTTCTTTTTTGCTCATGCCTTATCTGTTTTCTATCTCCTGTAGGAAAGTTTACAATAGAACTTAACACCAAACATAGGCCATAAATTACTGCATGTGAGATGTAACGACACACCGAAGACTCTTAGAGCCAATGATATTTAGAATGTTTTATTTTTGAATTTGGTATTTCATCCAGTATTTCCCCCCCCCCAATATCTCTGATGAATTGGGTATGTTCATGAAAGCTCACATTAATAAATAATAGCTAGTCTTTAAGGTGCCACCTGTTTTTGGTTTGTTTTGTTTCTTTGCATTTGCCTTAAAATCTATTGTATCCCATGAATACACTGGGGGATTCTGGGGGAAAGGTTTGGAGCTGCTACTGCTGTTCCCCGTTATTTGCTCCCCATGACAGTTGCCTATTGCCTAAGAGTAAGGCTGACTCAAAATGGAGGCAGGAGTTACTGCCACATGAACATTATTTACTCAGACCTTATATAATTCCTGAAAACATTATGCATGTACTTTGAAGCTTCTCCTTCTCTTCATATGATCACTACTGTGAGAAATTATGAAACCTGTTTGTCAGAATCATCCAATTATTCCAGTCATAAACAACTGCTCCAAGCAACAGGAAGTCTTTCCTGCTTCCATATGTCACTTCAGTGAGCAACAGTTCTGGTAAACAGGAAGTCAAGAAGAAATGTCTCTTGAGTGGTTTTTCCTTTTACCAGGGCATAGAGCTATCTTTACTGTATTATCACAATGGGTTATCTTTCTCTGCTGATCCAGATCTTCCTAGTCTTGTCTGGAGCAGCACTGAATGGAATATAAATTGGCCATGTAAACATTTTGTATTTTGTGGTGCCTTGTCTCATAGGGAACTCTTCTAGAGAAGGACTAAAGTAGGGAGTGGTCTGAAAAATGGAAGGAAAATGGGAATGTTCTGGGACTGGAGAGTTATTTATCTGTACAACTGAGACTTTCTCTCTTGCTTCACTTACTCCCATTCTCTGTTGAGGCTTGACTAGGTGCTGACCCTTCATCCCGAGGAACCCGAAGTTTTCCTTTCTGGCCCAGGTCCTGAAAGTCCAACATTCTAATCTCTTGAACCTGTAGTTCCAGGTGTGAAACAGGTAAGGTCTGCTTATCTACAAGACACAAAAGTTCACCACATCTATTATCACAAATATATTCATACGTCCATTTTTGTTTCATCCTAGTTTCATTCCTATGGTCTAATCATAGAATTACTACCTTCTTACAAGGTCCTGTAACAAATACAAAACTTGTCAGCTAATTCTATGCTTGAAATTTCCTGAAGTCATTTTCAGATGACATTTATCCTGTGGAAAATTAGTTTCTGCCCACAAACAACATTTTACCTTTTAGAAACCAAGTTACTACACTTTTGTTAAAAAAACAAGGATAGGTAATGCCTTCATTAGACCACTAATATCCCCAAAACAGCCAGTTTCGAAACTAGTGATTTAATAAATGGATCACCCTCCCTTTGTTTTTGGATTGTGCCCAAGAACCAAATAGCTTTCTTTTCATTTCTGCACCTGTTTTGCGAATGTGTCATGGATGGCAACTGGTTGGTATCTGTGACATCACTACCAAGTTCCCTTCTGTAATAATCCTATTTTTAATTTATTTTCAGTGATATTTCATTTCATTTTTATTTTTCAAAAAGAGGCTGGTATGCCTGCTTTCTCCCAGGGTCTTCAAACAGAAGGGTATTCATAGAAACTGCATGGGGAAGCTACTTTGTAGGGCAATATTTGCATCTTCTTCATACTGCTGCATAAATAGATAGCTATTGTTGTGTAACTATATAGCTATTCAATTCAGCAAGTCAATGCTCCTTTAAAGTAAGTCTTCCCCTTGCTCGTTACATACAGCTTGGGCATGGCTTTACCAACACTAGATCAGTGTCTGCAGTCTAAAGGCTCTATCAGGAAGTTTCCACCCTGAGGTTTTCTTCTGCATCTGGAAAGTGCCTGGTTTTTACCTTTTCCCAGATATATTATTTCATTTCATAAAACTGTGCATATCCCATCAAACCATTCAGGACTCTGATGTAGGGAAAATGTATGTACTGTATTTGATGCATTATCGTTTAAATCCTGAACTATTTGCAATACAAAGATAATCAGTCATGAAAGCACTGACTGAAAAATATTGGGGTTTACATGTGGATAGGTCTGCTCTCCTCAAAGACAGTAATCCATGAAGCACTGTTTTTCTCCTACCAAATAATATATCACTTTTGCATCATCTAGTGTAGTTTTGCTTTCAGAGGCATTAGAGCCATCTCTATTTCCACAGGCCCTTCACTTGACTTCCCACTTCTTCTTTGCCTCACCTTCTCTATGCACTTGCTGGAAAGGAGTGCTTGAGCCCTTATATACCCACAAGTTCCCTCGCAGATTGATATGGCATCTTCTTTGCACAGCAAACATAGCAAGCTCTTCTGTATAAGGCAGCTCATTGTTTTGCAAGTCTAGATGGACAAGGGCCCTGGAGGCAGAGAAGATGGAGAAGTCCAGAAACTGAAGTTTGTTGTTCTTCAGGAGTAGCGTGTGAAGGTTTTTCAAACCCCGGAAGCTGTTTCGGTGCACATGGGAAATGCTGCAGTTGCTTATATCCAATATCTGGAGAGTCTCAAGATTACAAAAGAGCCAAGGATAGAGAGTAGGGATGGTATTGCTGGAGAGGTTTAGGGAATGTAGAAGAGGGAAGCTGCTCAGAAAGGTTCCATGTCTGGGCATTATCAAAGTATTGAAAGACAGGTCCAAGTTGGTGATGTCCCTGGGAAGGGTATTTGGAACATGGAGAAGGTTCTTCCCACTGCAGGCAGCCCATCCCTGTGAAAAGTGCACATACAAAAATGAATAAATAATTCTGTTTGATTTTAAGGGGTTTTTTCTTTTGAATCATCAGGCACTCTATGACAGAATACTATATTTTGCAGCTCTTGTAACCCTAAAATTAAAAATACTTTAAAATTAAATATTGGAATTGTTTGCAAATAAAAGGAATGCCCTATATTTAATGCTGCAGTTGCATTTAACATTTGCAGAGAGACACATTTTACAAATGGCATCAGGTCAGAGAGGAAGCAAAAAAAAACAGCAATGAACTTAAGACAGACTGCTTTATTGTGATTCCTGTCCAGATTTCCTACACATTTCCTGCACAGATTTTAGAGATAGTCTAGAAGCTCATAAAGCAGTGCTGGGCAATTCTGTACTTGGATATAGGGAGCTTGTATATTAGGATGTCAATAAGAAACACAAAAGCAAAAAAAAAACAACAACATCAGAGCACCTTAAAGACTAAGTGCTACATTTTAACATAAGCTTTCATCAGACATACAGTAAGAGTCACAATACAGAGGCTACATGGTAAGACATTAATGCAAGGCTCTGAGATAAAAGGCCCATGGTATTAGGAGTGGTTATTGTTGGATGGTAGCCCCCATCTCCCTCAGCCACTGGCCATGCTGGATGGGAATGATGAGAGCAGGAATCCAGACAGAACTGAAGGGCCACAGGCTCCCCAACTCTGTTGGCCAAGAGTCCTCCACCTGGCCTGTGCTGCAGCTGTGAACAAATTTAAGTCCCCCTGAATTTAGTGATACAGATTCCTAAAGAAAGGTGCACAGCGTCAGGCCACAAGAAACTGAATCCAGAAGATGGAGATTCTACTGTTGGGAAGATAGGATTGGACCAGTTAGAGGCATATTTACTTGCCTTGATGGGTTACACTTCCACTGAAGGATCAGGTTCATAGCCTGAGGATATTCTTGGATCTAGCTCTCTCTATGGAGGCTCTCCTGTGCCCAAGAGGTTTTTTTTTTATTACCTTTGGCTGATTGCCCAGGGGCACCCCTATCTGGATAAGAAATATCTAACAACAGTGGTTCATGTGTCACTAATCTCCAAAATAGATTAAAATAATGCTACATAGGGTTGCTGTGAAGTTAGTACAGAAACGTCAGCAGGTCCAAAATGTGGTGGCCAGATTGATTGCAGATACCACTGTAACTCCTATGAAATAGTCATTCTAAGCGGTGGGACTAAGAAAGAGCAGGGCTGTAAGAGATTTACACCTGCACATAAACACATATCTTCAGTCTTGGCATGCCTTCACTGGCTCCCTGCTCCTTTCCATGCTCAATTTAAGGTGCTAGTCATAACCTATAAAGCAGCAGTTTAGGAACTCAATATCTGGCAGAACATTTCTCCCACAAAAAGCAACACAGAATTTCATCCCACATGTTCCTTGCAGTCCATGATATTAACAATTCTAACACCCTGATTTGGAGGGTGCAGAATCAGCTGCATACCACACATGGCCCAATGTTTTACAGAGGATACACTTACTGACTGAGGACAATTCCAGGAATTGCATTCCAAACATAACAGCTTCTCTGAAATTTGGTCTTTCAACTGAGGGGAAAATACCATTGAAAGGGCCTGTTGCTCCTTCTTTCTACCTAACAATAGGCTGGGCCAGCAGTGGCCTTGGATGCTTTTAAAAGTATGAGCTTAATCTTTTTAAGCAGGTAGGTAAACAGACAGCCATAGTAGTTGCCAACAGTAACATTCATGGCCAACTATATATTCTACAATCAGCATGTGCTTCAGCATGCTGTATACAGTATTAAGTTTTGCTTTAGTTACGTGTCCTGCTTTAACTGTCACCTGCCTCCAAAGTCTGATTCCATGAACTGTGTCCATAGTACAAACATTTAAATAGGCCACAATCTCCCAAAACTGAAGTCTCCTGATCTAGCAGAAAGTTCACATTGTCCTCCACTGCACTCAGATACACTCGTTGCTTACATGTTCATCAATGTTGCAGGGATGTCCTGATACCACAGACCAGGCCAAGAACATACTGGAGATCTGAAGGCACCAAGTATCTTTCATTCTGCTTCAGGAAGCTACAGGGGGAGAAAATAAAAGAGACACTGTCTTTGTTTCTATTTATATCCCAGCTTTCATGACTAATCTCAGGCTGGATAACAACAATTTTAAAACAAAAAGACACCATAAGCAATATGAAAGTAAAAAAAAAACCCAACATTTCTAACAAAACCAAGAATGACCAGTAAAGGATAACAGATGCAAAAGAGCAAAGATTATTTTATTGTCATTAACCACTCTTATATTTCTGTATAAACGCATGGCTTAGTCTAGCACTAAAATATTAATAAAGTTGGTGCCAAAAGTATCACTTGAGCAAGGGAATCCCAGGATTGTGGCACGTTCTTAGGAAAAAACGCTATATCTTACCAGAAATCAATCTACTTCTGCTAATGATGAGACAAGAAGATAGGCCTCTACACCAGATCTAAGGTAAAGAGCAGGTCAACACTAGGAAAGCTGGACATCAAATCATTTTGGGCTTTGCAGGCCAGTGCCAGGATCTTGAAGTTTACCCAGAAACAAACTGGGAAGAAATTAAGTTATTTCAGGAAAAGAATTCTATAATCCTCAGTACAGTATCTGATTTTCTTATGATGACATATGAATCCCAGGGAGCTTACCTAACATAATATAGTGATATACCCATCATTAAATAAAGGTGGTATCTTTCAATTCAGGCAACATGAATGCAGCTTCCATGGTAATACAGTACAGACAAGGCACACACATACAGCATATAACAACACATAGTACAGCACTGATCATCTTTGTAGTACCAAGGCTTTAGACAACACTAGACAATAGGGACCTCAGGATTTAATTTACCATAAACTGATATGCCTAAAGAACTCCACTTGTGCAAAGGACAATGTTCCTTCAAGTAGGCTGTGCCACATTACTGTATCAGTAGAGTATTACATTCTCCTGGCATACAACGGGCTCCTGCCCTTATTCCCAAAGTCACCAGAGAAGCAAAAGTCATGAACTGAGAGAAGGACCAAAACAGCAATAGCAACTGGTGGCTCATTGCACATGCAACACCAAAGACATGCCAGGGTTTGAAAAAGTAACCAATCAGGGCAGAACTAAGACGTTTTGGTACTTGAAGCAAAAGACAAGATGTCCATTGCCTCATCCTAGTACGTATAGGTACTGATTAGACTGGCAGCTAAATCTTTTTTCAACAGTGGCAAAGAGACAATCCACTAGAGGTCAACAGGCTTGCTTAGGGGAGGCAGGCAGGCTGCAAGGCACACCACACTCTGTCTGCCAGCATCTCATTGCTGCTTCCTGTCCGCCAGCATCTTCTGTCTGTGTTGGTCCTGCCCAACCACAGCTTAAACCAGAGTGTGGAGAAGATTCTTTCTTGTACTGCAACTCTTGTAAGAAAGTCCCCTAGCCAGCATGGCCGCCGCTGGCTGGGCAATCCAGGGAGTGGTCCGAAAAGGAACCCGTCCAGGCTGTGGCTCAGATCACAGTCAAAAGGCCCACAGGAGTGCTGTGTATGATCCCCGAGGACCTGCTGCACATAGCTATGGCATGCTGACAGCACCATATACCCTCTATTAGCAAGCATGTCTTGAAAGATCTTCCGATAAGCTTGAGTTGGTGGGATGCACAACATATGTTATCTTCTCAGAGCCAGAAGCCTGAACTCCGACAGAGCAATTTCTTCCCAACACCTCCTGCCTCAATTTGTCAGCGTCATCTTGGATGACCAAGAACTGGCAGGATCTTTTGATGTCTCTCTTCAGTTACCTACCTATCCTGCAGTGAGGTCAGGCTTGTAATGAGTGGGCTAACCAGAAACCCTGAAAGAAGACTTTAAATTGCAAAGGAGACAGGAACCAATTCTGTTTAGTCTCAGGCAGGTGAGCATATTTCAACACACTGGCTTTTGAGGAGGCAGTGCTCCCACTGGTAAGGGAGCACTGAGTGTCATATGACAGTCACGTTTTCAGATGTGGCCTCTTTTTAGGTTCATTTGTTTATAGAAATCTTGGCTCAGAGTCAGCAAGCTACTTTCACCCACAGAGAAAGCCATTTGCGCTCATTACTGGAGGAAAAGCGCACACAAAATACAGAAGCACCTTATCGATTGCCTTGTGCTTAAAAAAGGAAGAGGAGAATCGGCATCTGATTTTGAAACACAGCCAGGACTATTTCCCCCACCACCCACCTCCAGCTCATGCAACAAACCGAGGCTTTCCCCAATCCGCATACACCAGCATTGCACAGAATCTTTCCATGAGGAAAGGGTACTTGGTTCCCCCGCCCCCATTCTTCCTCCAAATATTCTCTGCAGGGGTGGGGGGGGCATTTACCTCAGGAACAGAACCAGATTGTGTGTGTCCTCTCTGGCTTTCTCACTCCAGTGTGTGCACACTCTCTCTCTTCCTGTGTCTGTGTACTGTGGGAGTGGCAGGTGCCCAGGAAAATGGAGTTTGAATGTGAAAAAAAGGTGAAAGGTAACAAAGGAAGTTACACATTAACTGGAATCAGCATCTGTTGTCTTTTTAGTAAGGTTAGAGCCAAAACAAGGCCGTGGCACTACAGTGGAGGAGAAAAGGGGAGGGTGCCCATTAGATAGTACCTGTATATATATGCCCACAAAAGCAGATACTGTACTGTAATACAGTAGCTTAAATGGTTACAGCCAGAGAAGCTACTACTGCAAAATTATGTGCAAACACTTCTGCATGTTTACCTCATTGTGTGCATTCATTATGAATGACAGATTAAACAAAAGGCACCTGCGTATGGAGCATGCCTGTGTTCCTTGTTCAGTGCTGGAACTTATGCTGGGCATACAAAAGTCTCTGGATTCAACCATTAATTATCACCCTCTGACTCTGTAGCCAACTGTGTTTCCACCTGACAGTTGTTCTATCCAGCCACACCTAGCTAGCTTGCTAATTAGAATAGCATGGGGTAATTTGTCAAAAGCTTTGCTGAAGTCAAGATATATAATACAGTATCTACAGCAATCCCTCTGTCTATCAAGAAGGTTACAAAATCAAAAAATGAGATCAGATTAGTCTGGCAGGATTTGTTCTTGACAAATCTGAGTTGGCTTCTAGTTATTACTGCTTTGTTTTCTATGTGTTTGTATAGTGACCACTTCATAATCTGTTTCAGAATTTTCCCTGGGATTGATGTCAGGCTGACTGGTGTGTAGTTCACAGGTTCCTCCTTATTGCCCTTTGTGTAGATAGGGACAACATTAGCCCTCCTCCAATCGTCTGGCACCTTACCTGTTTCCCATGATTTCAAGAAAATGGACAGTGATTCTGAGAGTTCTTCAGCCAGTTCCTTCAAAACAAATGCAGTTTGTCTGGCCCTGAAAATCTGAATTCATTCACAGGGATTGAGGGATTCCTTGACTATTTGTTTATCAATCTCCAACTTCAATCCTGTCCCCTCCACTTGCAGTTCACATTTCTCTGGAGAATCTTAGCCTGTCCTTTGGGAGAAGACTGAGCTAAAATAGGAATTGTGCACTTCTGTGTTTTCTTGATCTTCTATTATCATTTTCCCATCTCCATTGAGTAGCTGAGCCACTGTTTATTTTCTTTCTTTGTTTTCTTGATCTATTATCATTTTTCCATCTCCATTGAGTAGCTCAGCCACTGTTTATTTTCTTTCTTTTTGCTATACAGATACCTGAGGAATGTTTTTCTGTTGCTTTTAGTACCTCTAGCTAACCTCAGCTCATTCTCAGCTTTTGCCCTCCTAATGCTATCCCTGCAGTTCATTGATCCTTGTCTGTACACTTCCTTTGTGGCCTTCCTTTCATTTCCTATATATGCCTCTCTCTCTTTTTGTTTGTTTGTTTGTTTCCAGGTCCTCTCTGAGTTTTTTGTGAAGGCACAGTAGCCTTTTTTGCTGTCTCGCACTTTTTTCCTTGTTCGAATTGTTTGTAGTTGTGCCTTTATAATTTCAGAAAAAAGGAAAACAATATGCTATTTTTAAAAAATTATAACTGTATTGATAACCACTTGAAGAGACTTAAAACTCCAATGAATTACTCTTTTAAAAATTAAATAATTAAGACCTCAAGCACTGGCATGACTGAAGCTCTTTAGTCATTAGTTTCTCTTTTCTTGATGAGCTTTCCCATTTCCAGCAACCTCCTCCGGCTAATTAGTTTCATACAAAAGCATTAAAGCAGCTGTAGGGGAAGCTTCTGTCTGGCAACGAAAGGAAACTGCCTAACAAGGAGAACCAGGTTCTCTGAAACAGACAATATTTAAGCATGTGCAAGTGCACACAGGTGCACATGAGCATACATGGACACACTGATGCACATACACTTCTTCATATGCTATGGATATTTGAGAACAAATGAACCACCCTAGTTACTCACTAATGCCCTTAAATGCCTCTCACCCTCCCTTCTGTTGCATTGGGAGGGTCTCAAAGGGTGGAGTGTTCTTTGGGTGAATTTACAGAACCTTAGCAAAATAGCTGACACCAGGGCATCATTGGGGTGAGGAGTGTCTTTCCCGCCTTGTGGCCTTACTCCATGCTTTAGGGTGTGACTTTTCCAGCTGCCTGAGAGGAAACAAAGGGCTCCCATAACAATAGAGTGATTTCCTGACATCTCTTGGCAAACCAGTGACAGCTCTTCTGATATAGTTTAGGTCACTTCACTGAGCCCAATTACTGCTTACTGGATTTTTAAATCTTCTTGTATTTGGCCATGCCATGCCAAACACTGTCTGTCATCTAGTCCTGAGGAGTGATTCTTATGTCTAGTACTTTAACAGACTGAGAGTGTGATTACAATATTGAAATAAATTGGGTGAGGGTTTGGAGCTTTTTAATTCGTTTTAAAGTAATGATGTAGTCATGTCGTTTTTGGGTCAGTGTGTGCATTCTCTTGGGAAAAAATGTAATCCATTTTTAATCAGTGTTGAAAATAGAGGTCAAGGGGACTATATGGGCTTTTAGAATCATTGTATTTGAAACTTTGTCCTGAGTCCATCTGCCCACACTCACACTGGCCACTCACTGCTGCTGCTGTGGTGTTATTTAAAATGTTATTTTATTTTATTTCAAAGCAGGATAGCGCTAAAAGGGAATGACAGAAAAAAACCATATAGGTTTGTCCTGTTCTCTGCCAGTGGTGCTGCTGCCACTCCTCGGCCCTTCAATGGAATTCGGGTCTTCGCGGCTGGCTGCTTTGCCAGCATGCCTTTGACTGTTGAGTAGGAGCCACTCCGTAGTTCGTAGGGCATGCTGGTGTAGGCTCAGTTGCCTGCTATCTGCAGCAGCTGGGAGGCTTCTTGTTCCTTCTGCCTGCTCTCTGTTGCAACCAGGGCAGGAGCCCACTACTCACCAGCTCACCCACTTATGCTCAAAAGGAAAAGGTGAGGATGCCAGCAAGCAGCAGGCTTGTGAAGGAGAGAGAGACCCAGTGCTGGCTGAACTTAAAGGCTTGCAAAGTGGGAGGGAGGGGTATGTGTGAAACTAACATTTTGACTAGCTAGGAGGGAGTAAAAACCAAACACACATACACATGGAGTGCAAAAGAGGGGAAGGGACACCACTGGGTGGCAAATCCCACAGAAACAATTTATACCAACGCATGCCAGAACAATTCAACATAATTGTTATATATTAATGTCAATGTAATTGACATCTGAATAAAATAAACACACCTCTGCAAGAAAATTATTTTATGTTGCTTCCCATCAAAATAACACAATTCCCTGGTCAAAACAATCTGTGTTTCCATGTGCATCATGTAGTCACCTTTATAAAAATCTATTTAAAACATGCTAAACCCGATTCAATTATGTTTGTACTCTACTGTAACTGGGATCATAGAGTTATTTTAAAGTGTCTTACAAATCATATTCAAATTTGGATTTTCTGAGCCATACATTGAAATCAGTTAAATTGTACTCAACATGAATATGCCACTGATTTAGTATAAAACTAGAGGCTATGGAGAGCCCCTCACTAGAAGGCCAAAGCACATTGATGTTTCAGGGACACAATACCATTTGAACTTGTGTCTGAGCAATCAGAAAGCAGGAGCTTAGCTTCTGGTGATCAATTGCAAACCAAAACAAACTAATTTGCAAATTACTGGTAATAAGGAAAGCTTGTGCTCAAAGATGTCTCTTCTAAATGTAAATTATATGTAATATTATAGTATGTCTTTTAATGTTCTTCTAAATAGAGAGTTCCTAGCACTACCAATTGTGTGGTCATATTCAATAACCCAGACCATGGAAAAGTTACTTTTTCAGACTGGAGCTCCCAAAATCCAACAGGCAATGTGGCCAGCAGAAGGCCACAGTTGTGCAGGGAAAGACAGAAGGGAACATGAAAAGGGCTAGTACAGAGAGATGCACGGATTTGTTTTTGTGAAAATTTGGTTGACAACTCAGAGTTAAAGAAATGGAAGAAAGCATAATCCAGGACCCTCCAGACTCCAAATCAGGATAAGAATAATGTGAAGAAAACCATCCCAGTTATAATTAAAGAAGCAGCTTCCATCTTGCACCGGTACCTTGGAAGAACTTTTAAAGATGTCTTTAGTTGTTTTTATCTGATTAAAATAAAATTTATAATGGGATGACATTTCTACGGGGCTAAAACTGTTTTAAAATTTATAGTCCTAATCTTGGATTTGATAGATTGGGCATGAGAAAATGTTTCAACATAATCGGTTGGACAGGGATCAAAACTGGTAAGAATGGCAGTTATAGATTTTTCTCTTTCCCTGACAGAAATAGGAAAGAGAAAAGAAGGCAGATCTATGTCAATGGCCTTCAAATTCCTGCAGCCACCTGGCAATGAAGAAAGCCCTACTTCCTCTTACAGCATTTATTGCAGAATGTTTGGGATTGTGGACCATCCTAATTTTTCCTAAAATTTGAAGACTGGTGAATACTCATCCTCCACCTCTGTCCTGCTGTTTCCTTCCAAAGGCAAACCACCCTTCCCCTTGCTCAGAATGGTTGTTGCTCCCCCCTCCCTCCTCTTATGTATAAGGGCACACACCCTTTGCATTCTGCCAGCAAAGGTCCTCAGATGCACTCTTTCCAGGTTCAGACTGCCATTTTTGCTGAGGGCAGGACTCTTGTGCCTTTCACTGTTGCATAACAAGCGAAAAACCAGCAGGCAGTTTTCCATGCAATATTTATTTTTCATGTCATTTACTTGCCTGCTACCCATTCCAGTGGCTTTTAAAACACTAGGTAAAAACTCTTTTAGTTCACCTAAGGATTCAGTAGATTTTTAGTCGATTGATTTCGGCACATAGTTCACATGTTGTTATGTGAGTTTTATTACTGTGTTCTGCTGTTTTTTAATACTGACTTCTAATTTATTTTGTTAAGAATTCTTATAAATCAGGTGTGGGACTTTTGTATTTTTTGGATAACAG